TCTGTGTTTTTAATCCCCGTATGTTAATATCATTGGTTCATTCTTATTTTGGCTATTTATAAATTTGATTAGTGAATAAATGTGATTATTGTAATCTGATAGCATGAGCTGAAACAGTTATAGTAGGAATAGAAGAAATGTATTTGAGAAAAATTTTAGTGAAACTATCAGGACTTGATGGTTGATTAGGTGAGTTAGTGAGAGGAATTATTAATAATAGTAATAATAAATCATATATATGATACTATATGCAAGGCACTATTCTAAGTGCTTTACATATATTAACTTACTTAGTCCTTGTACAACTCTATGAGGCAGGCACTACTATCATCATTCCTAGTTAATAGACAAGCTAAAGCCAGAGAAACAACATGTCCAAGGTCATACAACTAGGCAGCAGAACTAGGATTATGAACATAGGCAATCTAACTAACATCAAAATATACTCTTAGCCAGTATACTGTTTCTCGGTGGAGAATGAAAGTTTCACTTGTGTTCTCTGAGATCTATACAAAAACACCAAATCCCATTCTAATGGATATTGATATTAGAAATCACAGGAATTTGGAAGATATTCACATGGCCTGAAGTGTGGAAACTGCCAGGCTATGAGTGGTAATTTCAAATACACACATCCCTTACCCCCCCAGAAATATTGTTTCCAAAGCTAAAAGACAGAAGGTAGCAGCTCCAACATGCTTGTTCATGATTGTCACATGGATTTATGGCCTTTTCCTATTTTTAATTCCTAGACTAGCCTAATAGGTAATTTTAGAATAGGTAATTTTAGAATAGGTAATGTAGAATCTCCATTTGACTGCTCAGCTTACCAAAGAGAAGAAGGGAAAGGTCAATTTGTCTCCTTTGGTACACTGCTTCATTATCAACCTCAACAAAATTTTATTGGCAGGTTGGTGGAGAGAGAGAGAGCTTCCAGGTATTGCATGTTCTTAAGATCCTCATAATTTTGTGAGAAGGACATATCCAGAAAAAATAGCTACATAAATTGTTCTGTAATCAATATATTGAAGTCTTAATAAAGAAGTGATTATTATATAATGGTAATAATAGAGAAAACCTCCTGGAAAATTTAGAATTCAGGCTGGGCCTTAAAAGGATTTAGTTAAATTGAGAAAATTACTTCTAAGTGTATGTATTAAGAATGTATAAAATAGTTTGTCTTGAGGAGTTCTTAGAGGTTTCAAGTAGGAGATAAGTTTGGAAAGTGAGAATTATGAAGAGCTGAATATTGAGCAGGTTTACATTTTAACTAAATAGACCCTTGAAATTCAAACTGAGGTATTAACCAAAGAAGAAGTATAGGGCATCTTTTTCCTGAAGTGCAGAATCTCAGGTCTTCTTTGAATAAAAATCTGCATTTTAGTCAGCTTTCCCATTGCTGGGACACAGTACCCCATATGCATAACTTGAAGTAAGTTTTATTTATTTATTTTATTTTATTTTTAAATTTTTGCTACCAGGGATAGGGAAGTAAGTTTTAATTTAGCTCCTGGTTCAGGGCTTCAGTCCACTGTTAGCTAGTTCCAAGGCAGAAATATCATGGCACAAGCATGAGGTGGAGCAGAGCTGCTCAATTCATGGTGGCTAGGAAGTAGAGCAGGGCAACAGTGCCAGAAAAGAACCTGCAAGGGACCATATATAGTACCCATGGCCCATCCAGACACCCAGGAGTGTGCTCTACTAATCTGCAAGGTAATCGTAATCCAATAAAGTTGAGATATCAGGATGAATGATTACAATCCACCCATTGTCAACTTCAAACCCCAAAATATCTCCTTAAACCATACTTAATCTCCAAATAAAGACAATAGTAGGTTCATAATTCCACCTAACATGTTTCAGCTATCCCACATACAACCAGAAATGCAATAATCCCTTCCTTAAAGTTTCAGTAGGTCCAGTGTTTTGCAAAGTCCAAGTCCAACTCTCTTTCGAGATTCAAGGGAAACTATTAGTCATAAACCTCTGTAAAAGTTAAAAAGAAATTGCATAATCCCAAATGCTATGGCTTGTGTCTAGATGTCCCACCAAAGCCTCATGCAATCATGGGTTGGGCTTTTCAAAGGTGGCTAGATCTAGAATGCATGATGTTAGCTAGGATTAAGGGTGTGTGATTACCACATTTGTCCACTGGTTGGGTTGGTATAGTTCTGAGTATGAATAATGAGAAGACCCATCCTGGGTATGAGTGCTACCCACCCTAAGGGCATATAGCCTGGATATGAGGGATAGAAAGAGGGTCACTGTAGCTTGCTGCTCACTGCCTTCTGCCTGCCATGAACTGTTTCTCCTCTGTGATGCCCTTCTGTCATGCCACTCTGCCTTGGAGCCAGCCAACCATGAACTGAAACCTCTATAAACTATGAGCCAAATAAACCTTTCTTCCTTTAACTTTGGGCATTGGGTATTTTGTCTCAGTAGCGAGAAAAATAACTAAGGCATTAAGATAAAGCTGGCACCAGGTAAACATTCCCTTTTCAAAAGGGAGGAAGTGGGAGATAAAAAAGAATCTGAGCAAAGGAAGACTGAAAACCAGCAGGGCAAACATTAAATCCTATAGCTGCATATTCAGCATCTGGGGCACGTGGTGGTAAATATGATTTCCAAAGGATATGGGTGGCCTCATCCCCTGTGGCCTTGCTGATTGCAGCCCACAAAGCCTCTTTTTTTTTTTTTTTGGTACCAGGGATCAAACTCGGGTCCTTGCCCGGTGAAACCACTGAGCTAAATCCCCAGCCCCAAAGCCTCTTTTTAGGGCAGCTCTCAGTTGATGTTCACATTCCTGGCATCTCTGACTTTCTGAGGTCTCCACTGCACCATAGCTTTATGTATTGCCCTCTTAGGGGCTTCTTGCCTGGCTTCCTGGGTCTTCCTTTGAAATCTTTGTGGGAACCCGACCCCCACAGTTTTTGCATTCTGCATATAAAACCAATATCACATGGATGATGCCAAGGTCTGCTGTCTGTAGAAACAGTAGCCAGGTATCCTTAGACCATGGATGGCTGAGCATGGTGAAATGAATCCCAGGGAACCAGTTTCCTGTGAGCCCCTTTTCAAGCAGGCATCCCAGGGATTCTCTTCTCAAAAGAAAAGGTGATGCTTTTGCATGCTTGGGATCTTAGAGGTCTTGGTGATTCATGAAATGCCTTCAAGGCATCTTCTCCCCCTTCTACAAAGTACTTGTTTTTCTGTGTTTGTTTGTTTGTTTGTTTGGTACCGGGATCGAACTTGGGGCCTTGTGCTTGCAAGACAGGCGGTGGAACCACTGAGCTAAATCCCCGGCCCTTTCTGTTTGTTTTTAATGGCACTAATCTCTTTAGCAGCCAGATCTCCTTTGATCCAAACTTTACACATGGTTCTTTCTGGGCTAAAATGTAAGTTTTCAAATTTTTCTGCTCTGCCTTTTATCTTTAATTCTTACTATAAATCTGGCCAAGCAATCAGCAATACCCATGCCACAGCTTGATTTTAAGCTGTCTTGAAATTTTCTCCTCCAGATAAATTAGTTCACTTTCCTTTATCTCAGTCTTCCACAAAATCTCAGGACGTAGGGAAAATGTAGAAAGACCTTTTGCCAGAGCATAACACGAATGATCTATAGTCCAAATGCCAGTGGACTTCTTGTTCCCAACTGAAACCTCCTGAGGCTGGCCTTTACTGTCCATATTCCTGTTAACATTGGGCTTTTGAGTGCTGATCAGAATCACCCATTAGGCTCTGCTTATAGCATTCTAGGCGTTCTCTAGCCCGCATCTCCAAACTCCTCCCATAAGTCAGTTCCAAAGGCTTCTAAACTGCATGGTCAGGTAGAATCGCACTAACCCCATTCTTGGTATCAGTTTTCTGTATTAGTCACTTTTCCTGCCACTGAGACACAATACCTGATATGCATAACTTAAAGGAGTGTTTTAATTTGGCTCAGAGTTCAGAGGATTCAGTCCATGGTTGGCTGGCTCCAATGTAGAAATATCCTGGTAGAAGTGTTGGATGGAGCAAAATTGCTCAGTTCGTGTCATCTGGAAAGCAGAGCAAGGGGAACAGTGCCAGAGAAGAACAGGCAAGGGATCATATATAGTACCCAAGGGCATTCTCCCATCACTGACTAGACATACCCAGAAGTGTGCTCTACTAATCTGCTAGATATTTCTAAATCTAGTGAAGTTGACATGAAAAACTCTGAATGTTGAGCAGCTTTACATTTTAATTAAGTGGACCCTTGAAATTCAACTGAAGTGTTAACCAAATTGTGATTGCTGGACAGCTTCAAAATGCAGAATCTCAGTTCTAATGTGAATAAGCATCTACATTTAAACAACATTCTTTATGTGCATTTATATGGTTAATAGATTTTATGTTGTTCAGTATAAATACTGTATCAGTTTACATTGCTACCAGTGATGTGTAAAGATGGTAAATTTTATATCCAACTCATTAGTCTTTAAAACAGGGTACTTCAGTGTTGCTTTCATTGGTATCCAGTCCAAAGGATAAAATTGAACATTTCTATAAATGTCCATATTTGTTACCAGTTTTTATTAGGGTATTTTTTTCCTTTTTATTTATAGGAATTATTTGTATATTAGGGAATTTAGCCCTTTGTGATATTGGCAGAAATCCTTTTTGTTGACATACAATACCAATGGCAGACATGTTGCTAATGGTTCCTGTATTGGACAACATAGGCCTAGAGATATACGGCTCACTTTGTTACTGACTTATATCTCCTTAGAATAGTGATAGAATAGAGCATGCCTTTGAAAAGCATGTTCAATATCATAGTTTTATATTTGGAAAACACAAAGTTTTTAAGTAAATTTAAGAAGATAAAGCTTGAAATTCTCTTGCAGTAGGACATAGTTAATAGCTATTGAAAATATATCTAAGAATGTTACTGATTTTTGAAGTTTATTGATTATTGTGAAAAATCACAGAGCCATTTTAAATTGAATGCTTCTGTATATTTCTATTCTTCCCATTAGGTTACCACCAAAGAACATCGTTCTGGTCTAGGGGCTCTAGTTTCTGAAGCTGAAAAAAACCAGAATACTCTCCAGCTAGAACAAGAAGTGAAAAACCAAGATAAATTCATCTCTACACTGAAATTACAGGTTTCTTTTAGTTTACATATGTATTTCTCATGAGTTAATTTGGGATGGGAACCTACTTTAAAACAAGGGGATGGAGAATAAATAATTACTGATTCAGAGCTTGTTGAAATCTAATGGGTCTAAAAATCAATTAATTTTTATCTTAACCTTTTTGATATACATGGATTTAGAGGCAGTAAGTGCAAACTCTGTGACAAGTGTTGTATCAGGTGCTTTAAAGTACACAATCTTACTTAATCATTTCCAACTTGTGAACTAATGATGTTATTTCCATTTATATGGATGGGAACTGAAGTTACAAGAAGTTAAATAATTATAATGTTCAATTAATAAAGTTGATTTCTCTGAACTTCTCGGTTAATCGGGATTTGAATGCAGTCCTCTGAACTGCAAGTGCAGTACTGTTTGTATTCTCCTGGTGCCTCATATGTGGTGTAGCTATTAAAAGCCACTTCTGGGAGACAGAATAGACTTACCTTTTCTTATTCATCCTTTTAAATACAGCTAGCAACTCTGAACATTGTATATATAAAACAAACTTAAGAAAGGTAGGTAGAAGGAGGAAAACTAGTTAGGGACCTCAAGACACAAAGAACATGTTAGTGAGTTCCTGTATTTTCTTTTTCTCAATATATCCTAGACAGAATGCTAGAATAACTGGCACCTGGAAATGACAGTGGGCACAGTCAAGACCCCAGAAAAGGCATCTCACCCTAACCAGAGGACTAGGAAAGGGACGGCTGTACAAGGTAGACAACTTCTGGACAATAACTGATCACTCCAAACATCACAGAAAAGAACTTCAGCCCCAGTACCTCCAGCCCAGGCAAGAGCCTAGACCAGTGATGGTGAACCTTTGAGAACTTTCAATGATTACAAACAGCTGTCTGGAGCACGAATGCCATAGGTTCACCACCACTGACCTGCCTTTGACTCTTGCCAGGCTGTAACAAGGAGCTTCACCTGTGCCTCGTATGGCCTCATTTCTTGCACCACACTCTCAGCCAGCATGTTATCAAAGAAGGCCGAGTGAGGAACCAGAACTTTGTTTCCCACCAGGTAGTAAGGAGCACCCATGCCCTAAGTTTTGGTAGAAACAACGTGGGGAGACAAGACTTTTGCTTCCACGCTGCAGTAAGAAGTATCCCTTCTTTCAAGGGTGGTATCAGAGGATACCTAGTGCAGAGTCAGGACTTTACTGCTTCTCAGCACAAGTAAGACCACCCAACAACAGTGTCAGTGGAGGATAAAGGGGGAGCAGTAATGAAGTGTCTCTTCCTCCCATTTCCATTGGTAATCGCAGAGGACTAGTAGAGAGCCTGCACACTCACCCCTGCCTCTCAGTAACAAAGATCCTGCCCTCCTTGAATGTCAGTAAAGGCTGGCTGCATGGAGAAATTGGAGTTCCAACCCATGTAGCAGCAGTGAGACAATGTCCCCCTTTCTAGCAGCAGCAGTATCATAGGAGGCCTACTAGAACCTCAGATCCAAAGTGTTACAATACCAGATCTCAATGAAAGAAATTCACTCATCCTCACAGGAATCAGGAATATCTGAGAAAAGACAGGAGAAGCAAACACTGAAATACAGCATATTATAATATTTTGTTAAGGATTTTAAAGCACTCATGTAAATGCTGAACAAGCAATTATGAGCCCACATGAAACTAATAAAAAATACAACATCTCAGCTGAGAAAAGTTACAAAGAACCAAACTATATAGTAACTGGCCCCAGAAAAATCTACACACAAATGTTTATAACAGCCTTAATTATGATTGCCCAACAATCAAGATGTCCTTCATTAGGTAAATAGATAAGCCAACTGCAATATATACATACAATGAGATAGTACTCAATGATAAAAATAAAGAACTATGTATCAAGCCTTTAAAAGGCATGGAGGAACCTTGAAAGAATATTCAAGGTGAAAGAAAATCTGAAAATACTACAAACTATATGATTATACCTATATGACATTCTGAAGATGAGCTATGCAGACTGAAAAAGAAGCCTTGGGGAAAAAGGGATTTGGGAGGAGGGGGATGAATAGGTGGTATGTGGGAGTTTTTAGAGCAGTGAAACTATTCTGTAGTATACAGTGATGGTAGATACATGTCATTCTACATTAAAAACCACTGAATGTCAACACCTAGAGTAAGTCCTAGTGGAAACTATGGACCATAGTTAATAATGTATCCTTATTGGTTCATTAATTTTTTTTTCTTGCTGCAGTGGAAATTGAACCCAGGAGCTTTGCACTGAGCTACATCCCCAGCCCCTGTGTCAGGCATACACCACTATGTCCAGCTTCATTTCATCAATTTTAACAAATACACTGCAAGACGATAAGATATGAATAATAGGGAAAACTGTTGGGGAGGAGGTGGGAAGGGTATGTGAGAACTCTTAATTTCTGATTAATTTTTCTGTAAACCTGGGCTGGGGATTTATCTCGGTGGTGCCGTGCCTGCCTTGCAAGCACAAGGTCCTGAATTTGATTCCTGGTACTGCAAAAAAAAAAAAAAAACTTGTTTTTAAAAAATTTGTTTAGAAGCATAGACAGGACAAAAAATTTCTAGATTGGATATTTCATAAAAGCTTAGCATCCAGGATGTACAAAGAAGTACAACTCAATCGTATCTCAATGGTAGAGCAATTGCCTGTAATGTGCTAGGCCCTAGGTTAGAGCCCCAGCACTGAAAAAATAAAAAAGAAAAATGACTTAGATAGATGTTTCTCCAAAAAATATATAACAGGTTGTCAAGTGAATGAAAAGATGCTCAGCATCATCTACCATTAAGGAAATGCAAATCAAAACCACTATGAGGTACCACTTCATGCCCATTAGGATGGCTGTATCAATTTTACAGAAAATAACAAGTGTTAGTGAGGATATGAAGAAACTAGAACACTTTTACATTGCTGGTGGGAATGTAAAATGGGGCAGGTACAGTGGAAAACAGTTTGATTGGTCCTCAAAATGATAGCTAACCATATGATTCCGTAAGAGGGGTATGTGAGAACTCTAATTTCTGATTAATTTCTCTGTAAACTTAAAATTAGCTTTTTAAAAAATTTGTTAAATAGTATAGACAGGACAAAAGTTAGCTATTCCATCCATAGGTATATACACTAAAGAATTAAAAGCAGGGACTCAGATACTTACACATGTTCATAGCACCAGAAACCCAAAGTTGGAAACAATCCAAATGGCCATTGACAAAAGAATGATAAACATAGTGTGTGACCTAGCACAGTGGTTTAGGCCTGTAGTCCCAGCTACTCAAGAGGCTGAGGCAGGAGGATCACTTCAGCCTGGGAATTTAAGGACAGCCTGAGCAGCATAATAAGACTCTGTTTCAAAACAATAATAGCACCAGGCCCGGGGGATTTAGCTCAGTGGTTCTGCCACCTGCTTTGCAAGTGCAAGGTCCTGAGCTCAATCCCTGGTACAAAAAAAAAAACAAACAAAAACAAACAAAAAATATATATATAGTAACTGAAATTGAAGACCCAGTGTTCTCAACAGTGTAGAGAGGAATGGATCATTGAATATGAGAATAGAAAAATAGAAATTATCTAATCTGAACAACAGAAAGAAAAATACATTTTAGAAATATGAATAGAGCCTTGAATAAGGTGGAACTATTACAAAAGACCTTACATTTGCATCATCAGAGTCCCAGAAAGAGATATAAGAGAGGGTGAGCTGAGAAAATATTCTAAGAAATCACGGCTGAAAATTCTCCTAATTGGGTACCAAATATATAAAACAGATTAAAGGGCTGGGGATTTAGCTCAGTGGTTCTGCCGCCTGCCTTGCAAGCACAACGACCCGAGTTCGATCCCCAGTACCAAAAAAATAAAACAGATTAAAGGTGAATGAATACCTAACAGGGGTCACCTAGTCCAATCTATGCCAAGACACTTCATAATCAAACTTTGGAAAACTAAGGACAAAAACAATTCCTGAAAGCATCCAGAGAGAAACTATACATTATTGGTAGGGGAATACCAAATTTAAAAGATTGCATATTTTTAAAATTTGAAACCATGAAAGTAAGAAGGAAATATTACATTGTCTTTCAAGTTCTAGAAAAAAGAACTGTCAGCTCTCTGTTTTGTATCAAGTAAAAATATCCTTGAAAAAAGAAAGAAAAATTAAGATATTCTCAGGTGAGGGAAAACTAAGAATTTGTTGTTAGCAGAGCTATCCTAAAAGAATAGCTAAAGAAATTTCAATAACCAGAAAGGAAGTGGAATTGGAAGGAATTTTGGATCAGGGAGAAGGAAGGAAGCACAATATATACCATATAGAGCAAATCTATAGGTAAATTCAATAGAATTTCCTGTCATTATATATTTATTTTTAGTTTTCAAAATTATGTTTGACAGTTGAATGTGTTTCTCAATGCATGTAGGAGAAGATTATTTTATTAATTTAGGAAAAGGGATATAAAGGGAGGTAAGATTTCTATACTTTCACTTGAACTGGTAAAATACAATATATGGTAAATTATGTATATATAATGTAGTGTATATAAAGCATCCACTTAAAAAAAAAGATTTAAAGAGGTACACTCAAACACTACAGACAAGTCAAATTGGATTTCTGAAAAACTGGGAAAAAAACCAGGAAGAACTTCTGGGGTAAATGGCAGAATAGAAGTGTCCTTTACACAACTCTACAAGTGCAAAGAGTCAGGGCAACAAAAGAGAAACTATATTTTGAGGAAGAAAGGAATTCCAAGAATCAAAAAAAATTACAGGAAAATTAAAAAGCTTGGTGAAGTAGAAAGGAACTCAGAAAAGCACAAAGCAATCTACAGCGCCAACCCTGGCTCTCCATCAGGGGTGGTGGTGAAGCCAGGGATTGGATTGGGGGTGGGAGGGAAAACCCAATGCTGCAAGCACAGGTAAGCCTGGAAAGTGCAGGTGCCCCCCAAAATAAAGCCTAGCAGTCCTAGCTCCAGAAGAAACCCACAGTTCTTACAAGCT